TTTTTCGATATAATCATTCGGCATGGACTAATTTCGGTATTCTGTTCTTGTTGCAAGCAAGATTCTGCAGAAAGTGAGATTCTGCAGAAACATCTGTTGTATAATTCTCTTTTACGTTCAGTTTTTTTTTGATCGGCGTTTTTTCAGGTGGAGGGAGGTTTTGTTCAAGGAATGGGCATGTTCACCCTGGAAGAAGTGCGTTACTCTCAGACTGGCTTACCATGGACGCAAGGGCCTGGTGCCTACAAAATTCCCGGATTTTCAGACATTCCAGTGGAGTTTTATGTTCACCTCTTACGAAGTGCCCCGAACGAAAAGGCAGTCTTTTCTTCAAAGGTTTGAACTGCCTCTGTTCCTCCAAGGAATTAGATTGTCAGAAAAGTCGGTTATGCTTTGTTATTATAAACATCTCTGAAATTGAATCTGATCTTTGGTGGAAAGGCGAGTTTTAATATAGCTACTATCACGTCTAAAAGTTCTGTTTTCCGTCTCGTAACATTTTGACTGTTATTTGTTCATATAGGCTGTAGGAGAGCCACCTTTATTTCTCGCCTCTTCTGTGTTTTACGCTATTAAAGATGCCATTACGTTTGCCAGGTAAAAATTATCCTTACTTTTTATAGTTCTAAACTGGACTGGCTTTGCGTGGCTTATTGGAGTCTTGGGGCAGTTACTATTTGATCGAATGCAGACACAGGACTGAATTTTTTTATCATTGTTAGCCCAACAACAAACGGACGCACCTCTGACTGCACCTCTGATTGTCTGTCTTGTCTGTCTGAGTGACTGACTGACTGACTTACCGATCGACCGACTTGCTTGCGATTTCCGACTAACTGACTGGCTGACTGACTGTCTCTCTATCTGACCGACTGACTGTCTGACCAAATGACACCTTCATCAACTGTGTAACAAGCGAGATGACTTAACAATTCAACTGTCGTTCTTAACACCACGTTTTCTTCTATGTTTTACAGGCGTGAATCAGGTATTGAAGGGATCTTCAGACTGGACAGTCCAGCCACCAGTGAGCGTATGAGAATGGCTTGTGTTGACCAGTTTACTCAACAGGTGAGAATTCCCCGCTTTTTGTCGTCCCACCTCAAGTCAGTGGCAAACAAATGTTGCCCGGATATCTGTTCAGTTTGTCGGTGATGGCGATACTTCAGACTGAGAGAACGCACAGAACACTCCGAACTACTTTGTGAAAGTTTTCTTTCCTTCTAGGTTTTTTTTTTTTTTGGTCATGGTTGCTCTTCACTAGAAGATGGTCTGACTACTTGAAAAGCGATTTCCCACAGCTGAGAACGAATGAAGCGGCAAATACACGCTCTGTCAAGTGCGCATGCCAAATAGGATTGTTCTGCTGTTCGTTCTGGAACCCTTGTCTGAGTTCTTTTCCTTCTTGAACGAAGCATGTGTTTAAGGGCGCATGATGTTGACGTAGTGTGCAGTACACGCACGCTTGAAATCACATCGAGGGCACGTTTCCAGTGAGAAGTTTCTATGAACGAGCTCGAGGTATTAAATGCTTCTAAGGCACAATCTAAACTGTTTTAGGGGGTTTCCTTTTTAGTTCTTGTTTTGTCAAAAAGTTCTACTCCATTGCATTTGCTGATTTTTTTTTTCCATAGTTCACGCCGCTTGCGGATCCAACCGTGAAAGACTTTAATTTGTATCCGTGAGGACTTGAACAGCGTTGATCAACAAGATGTAGACTACATAACTTCATTCATCATTTAATGAATTTCTTGCAAATAATTACAAAGTAGTTACAAATAGGTGTGGGTATTTGAATCGTTCGGTATACCTGGGTCCATGAGATTCACACAATTTCCCCTATGACCCGACCCTTAAAAAAAAAAAAGAAAAGAATATTTTGAAATTAGATTTTCGTTCCAAGACTGTGACCAAAGATCTCTGAGACTTACAGATTCTTCACCACTGATTTGTTTACGGCCTACTTAAAGTGAGGCCCGTTCCACGGGAAGATTTTGATCCCAGTCGCCCGGCGGAAATCATATAACAACCCCCTTAAAATCCTTAGTATTTTGACACTCTTTGTTATAGTTTCTTGCTAGTGATTAGCTAGAAACTAAGGAAACTATAATTGCACCTAAAATTCCACTCGGTATTCATGTTTAAGTCGTGGAAATGAATATGAACTGAGGTGTTCTTTAGATTAAAAGCAAACTATAATGTTATGCCGTTATAATTAACTTATTTTTTGAAAGAAAAATGGAGACTGTGAATTATAGTGTATTTGTGCATTAAGGTCTGTCTACCTATGTTTATACATACGAATAAAGAAATACTGCATTTCGGTGGCATGAACAACCTAGCCATTTTTTGACTGGTCGTTAGTGTACTCAGTGACTGATTTTTGTCTAAGATCAAACATTGCTATAAGAAAATACATATTTTATTAATCACATTCTATTTCCTCCTCAGAATGTTAACTAATCTCGTACGTGTAATTTGTAAGAGAGTAATGGCGATTATTATGTAAGAATGATTTCCATGTTACCGTATGCGAACAAATGTATTAGGGGTAACAATGTATGATTTTGGCATGAAATTAGTTGTAATTTTTAGTATTTTTCCGGCACATTATATATTTCAATATTGAAATAAATTATTGTTGAGCCATTTTCACAACGATGAAGTTACGCAACCAATTAGAATGCTCCCACGGCTTAATAGCCCATTTCCGGATTACCCTTGGCCTCATTTTCAAAACGAGGCCCGGTGCTCAACCATTCTTGAGAAAATGAGTTTAATTTGCATGTGAATGAAAACTTAAAATCATATGAAAGGATGAGCACCATGACTCGTTTTGAAAATGAGGCTAAGGGTAACTCGGAAATGGGCTATGGCAGTGTCTGAGCGTCTACGCACCCACCCCTCCCATAACCTTAACTTGTTATCCGTTGACTTCTTTTGGGTTAAGGGAGGGGTGAGTGCGCATTTGTTTAGACACTGACAATGATCCGTTTGCACAATGAAGAAGAAGGACCTACCCTTTAAGAACAATACTGCCGAATGGGCAGGCTCAGATCAAACTGCGTTCTTCTTTCTTTCCAGTTTTCTCTTTTTAACGCGCCGCCTCTTTTTCGCTTTCTTTTGCGCGCACCGCGAAATCCTACTGAGCGAGATTTTGTCATTTCTGCGGTCACCTCACCAGCATACAGATTTTGACCCAGCTGTGACATTGCAGAACGGAAAATCTCATTGGAAATCATTGCTGCGTGGATTTTTACGGAAAAGTTGTCACTTGCCTTTGCTTTTCTATTGTGGGTATGTAATGGTGAGTCAGTGGAACCCAAGATTCCTTTGCAAGGCAAACCAGGAAGCGGTAACTCTTGTCTGTGTCGTTTGCCTCACAAAATTTACCAACCTTTCAATATCTAAAGGTCATGAAATAATTGACAATCCACTTCAAAACGATTTGCGCATGCAAGCTTTGCGGACCTATTCGCATTTATCTCAGATCGAGTAGGACTGGGGTGAGAAATGTTAACCTTCGCGCGAGTTGAAGATCACATTTGTGTTTAGAATGTGTCAGGAATCAGCGTAGATTTTCAGGGCCTTTGTGAGAATGAGTAGAGCCAACATTCGCTCTTGCCTCAGTTTTTTATAGGTAAGTTTTTTTAAGGCTTTCTTACCTCCGTAGGAATCGAAACAGTGATTCGATCGCGGGCCTTCGCTTTCTATTGTATCTGATCTGTAAATTGGCTCTTCACACTGAAAAATTTTGAATTTCAACTTTAAAACAGTTCTCAAAAATTTATTATTTCTATAGGGCACTGAGTATTCCTTTCTGGTAGGTCGTTAGCTACAGCTCGCTGATTGAATTCTTCAAATAACGTATTTAAATTTTATTTACAATTTGAACATACCAAACGCGTCTTGTCAACATTGGAAATTGCTGATTTGTCAATGGGCGTTCCATTCTTTAGATTTGTGGCCAATGTAATTAAAATCGACTTTTCTTGATATCAAGCTTTGTCTTCTGTGCCAGCAAATACTTTTTGTTTGTGATATATTAGCGATTCGTGAGTTGCAGCCTTGTTTAAATTTCCCGCTTTATATTAGTGCAGCCATCTTGGATTTCTGTCACGTTCTTTAAGTGATTATTTTATCGACCTTGTGTGCACGCGATAGATGAGATTTTGTGTCGTCCTTGCGACTTCTGTTCTTCAGCCATATACTTGGTGGGGTTAACTTGTTTACCTGCAGAAAAATACTATGGATGGGAGTTCCTGTCCCCCATCCCCCTCTTTTGCAGAGGTATGCCAAAAAGGCTCACCGCTTACTTTATGACTTGCTTGGGTTTTTGGAAGTGTGACATTAAAAAGCTCCAGAAAAATTACTATGGGTTACTCAACTACTTCAACACAAGGTCATAATTTATAAGGATCTTCAACTTAAAGAGGACGTGATGAATTTTATTGCATGCGTTGGAGATTTAGATAAACAATGTTTGATATAAATTTGTTAGATGAGCGAGTTTGTCATGATGTCGAACAAAGCTATGATTCAGAATGATCATGAACAAGAGGGGGAATATGGTGGTGTTGTTAACCTTTCAAGTGAGTATAATAATTGTTCTTTGTACATCTTTTAATCTGTGTTTACAATGGTATTGGTAATGGCCACACAATGAGCTTGTAGGACCTTGGGTGGAAATGTCTTGTTTCAAGAATGACATGGTGATGTGTTCTTGGTCAAGACACCATAACCTCATAATGCTTCCTACCTATGAGAGCTGCTCCAACGTCGTGGTTTCATTAATGCTGGAGACATACTGTACTGCCTTGAATCCATCTCCGATGCCATAATATTAAACAAGTGTCTCTCTTGATTAAAACTACTTTTTTAGCCTCAACTACAGCAGAAACAGTACAGGTTAATAGTTTCTCAATAAGCATCCTTCCTTTGAGCTGAAATTTTGGGTAAACACCCACACACTTATTCCAGGAAATAGGATGCATGCAGGTATAGTGCAGTGAGGAATGAAATCCCATTGAAATGACAGACATTGCAGAAGGCTTGTGTCTGGCCTTGCCTCTGCTTCAACCTTGTATCCTTTTTTTATTGCAGATCATGATTTGAAGACAATTGGGCATCTTCCAAAAGGGGTCTCCCCTTACACTCTCCTTCTAAGTAACAATGCAATATCGAAGGTGGAAAATTTACATTATTTCATCCATTTGCAACAGGTAGGAGACAAAGTTTATTTAAAATTTGGAAGGTCTACCTTTTTAAATAACTGCAAATTAGAATAGTCTAGAGTAAAGAAAAGGTCATGAAAAAGGTAAGTTAAATTGTTTTCCTTTTTTTCATTTCAGTTATCTTTGGCTAATAACCACATTGTTGACATTAGAGGGGTCAGTGCAGCAACTGATTTGAGAGTGCTTGACCTTAGTAACAACAGGATTGTCTCAATTGAAGGTATACCCTCCCTGCTACATTACTATTTAACAATTATTCGCTGAAGGCAAGGTGAATATCATCAAATAATCCCCAAGACGAAGTTGAGGGGATTATTCAACAATATTCACCGAACCT